AGGCCAGCCGACAACGAGCCATCAAACGAGGAGACAGCGGGCCCAAAAATAGTCTAGATACGGCACCAATCAACGGGGCGGGAGGGGGGCGGGAGGAAACGGCGCGGGAAGAAAGCAAGCGAGAAGAGACCGACCGCGTGACGTGACATGTTGCGGTTGAATTTCAGCGACTAGTTTTTCTGTTGCCCTCTCCCCCGTTTGCTGTCGCGTTCAGACTGTCTCTACGGATATCCCTGTCTCTGTGCGAGTTTGTTTATGTCCTCGTCTGTCTTTGGTTTATTTCGTTTTATTTTGTTTTGTTCTTTACTGGCACGTACTGCTGACCCTTGGGGTCCTTCCGGAAGGCTACCCCCCAGGCTGATGGTGGGCACGTTCCACTATTTATTTATATATGTTTCTGATTCTTTTGTTTTCTTGTATTTTATCGCTCTGCCAACCCTTGGGGTCCATTTTATTTTGGTATACGTTTTCTAGGTACGTTAGCCTGTGACCACGGAAATTGGCCGAGTCAAGTGATGGATTAGTACGGAGAGATTGAGACAGAAGGAGGTACTGGATAGAGAGACCGGGATGGTTTTTAATGTGAAGACAACAAGAACAACAGAGAGAAATTGATCAAGTGGCCTGCGGGTGGTCCACGAAAACTACCACGTTACCTGTTCTTTTCTTTCTATCANAAGCTGGATTAGTACGAAGAGATTGAGACAGAAGGAAGTACTGGATAGAGAGACCGGGATGCTTTTTAATGTGAAGACAACAACAACAACAACAACAATGTGTCTTCATGCCTGCAGTCTTCTTATCTTGATAGAAATCCGTATGCAGTGGTGACAAACGAATAGCTTCCAATCTCGAACCGTGGCCATCGCAGTAGCTTCACGAAAGGGCTACCCCGTTAGGCTAGACTTCGTAGTTTCTCTCGGATTTCCATGCTGGTATGCATTTGCTGCTCTCGCCACAACACCAAGGGCTGCTGTCAGCACGCCGCGGCGGGAAAAAAAGACAACAGGGGGAGACTGAAATCTCTTGCGACCCAGCCTCCTATACCCTGCGGATTCTCACCAGCTCCAGTTCTCGCAAAAAGTGTGTGTGTTGTTGTTAACAATCTCTATCGTCAGCTAGACCAGCCATGGTCAGCTTGACCAGCGGTACTGAGCAGAGATACGAACGGGAATAACGGTTCCAACAAACAGCGGATGGATCCACCGGCTGATCCACGAAAAGATGATGGCGGGATAACAATCCGCCAACATGTCTCCAGTCCGCGGGCTTCACCGACAGAAGGCTCTTGAAGTATTTATGTAGCATCGCCTGTGCTACTCGGCATCCCGATTAAAAGACAACAAAAGTATTTTGTAGCTTGGTGTGTTTGAACTTTTCTTCTGAAGATTATTGAGCCCTAATCTGGTACTTACAGTAGACACGAACCCGATCAATGGCGACGACGAGAGTCGTAGGTCATTCTTTACGCCGCTGTTTCCTATTTCTCCTGCCCACTTCCTTTTCTTGGCTGTTGTCTTTCGTTCTCTTGAATTGCAAGTCAGTCGTTTCGATCATTGTTTGTTTGTGTAGAACTCTCATCTTTGTGGGATATCAAGGTGTTCCCTCCAGACTCAGACCCACACCTGCGCGTCTCGTGCGTGTGTGAACATTTGTAGCCAGGTCGTGTGTGCGTCCCCTTTGAGATAGCCGTGTGAGGCATGTCCTCCGTGAGAGCTCCCATGTGCGCGCGTGTGTGTTGATGACCCTTCGAAGATCATATTCCGCCGAAACATGAACGCTCAGAAGAAGCTAATTCTATTAACTACGCCTTCTTTGCAAAAACGTCAACACATACAAACGG